GTATCAATTTGACTTTGAGAATTGACTTACTAATATTGTACAAATAAACTTTGGAGAGCATGAATGTGCCCAAAAGATTCTCGCAGCAAGCCTTTTGCTGATATATTTTCCTTATCAGGCTGCTGTAACTTGCAGCATACTTTATTGGGAAATATAAGTCTAGACTCAGAGTTCTTGCAAAATGGTCATACAAGGATACAGAGTAGACTGTGTTGTGTTTAAAAGAATAACAGTGTCCATAAAACAGCCCATGGCCAAACCCTTAGAAGCCATCTTCCACACAAGTACAAAGTTAGCAGCATTTTCTGGGATAGCATCTGAAGTCTTGTATCTGGGAATACTGTATTTTCAAAAATCAATCTTAGAACTTTTCAAATTGCTTCTCCAGTTGACTATACACCCTGGTCCTGCAGGAGGGACCCCAAAGAGGATTTGGAAGAATGTTATATACATATAGAAAGATTCAAAATAAATCAGCTCAAGAAAGATTTGAAAATAGGTTCAGCCTAGCTGGTCTGGCTCAGTGGTTGAACATTGACGTATGAACCAGGAGGTTACGGTTTGATTCCTGGTCAGGGCACATGCCTGGATTGCGGGCTTGCCAATCAATGATTCTTTCTCATCATTGATGTTTCTCTCTCTCTCTCTGTGTTCCTCTCTGAAATCAATAAAAATATATTTTAGAAAAAAATAAAATAGGTTTACTTTTTTTCCAGGAACTTGGTACTTGCCACATCAGGGATATTTCTACTATTTGACATTATGGAAAATTTAAAGGTTGAAGACCATAAAATATTATTTAATAGCTTGTTAAACACAATGGTGATGACTGGGAAGAATATGGTGTGGAACAAATATGACTAAAAGTAAAAGGTAGAATAACTAAACTTATATGCTGATAAATTCAGTAAAACTGGTTGAAAAATACTGGTGGTTTAGGTTGTGCATAATGACAAACAAGTGACTTATTTGCATTGTTTCCTCAAATTGGTTATATTGACAACAGTAATTATTTTGGTATTATAGGGGATACAGCCTGAAACTATCATATATGTAGTTAAAAATTATTATATAGAAAATTTGTAGCTCTGCCTGCTGGACTGGGCTGGGGTGGGAGGGGGAGGAAAAAGGATCATAGTGACACAGTAAAAATTTGAAATTTTACATTTACCTTTGTGGTGCAAGGATTTTTAGGTTCAAACAGTACTTTCTACCTGTTTTTGCTAAATCGGGGTCAAGTTAGGGGAAAAGATGGTCTCTTGGTCAGTGTCAGAAAAGTGGAGGCCGTGAATCAGAGTGTATATAGATCAGGGTGTGACAAAGCCAGGGGAAGAAATGCTATGGTGGCATATCTTAGATCCTTAGTTAATGCTCACTTTCCTAATAGTAACCATAGAAGTAGTGTTAATAAATGATCATACAAGTGTCAGGAATCACATTGAATAAGAGCTGATGAGCAGAATGGAGCTGGACTGGATTTTCAGCTAGTCATAGAGAAACTAAAAAGGTGAAAAGAATAGATTCGGCCAATGTGATCAATTTTCAGAAAGTTAACTTATTACATTTAAGAAACTGCCTTTTATTCTGAGACACAGCCATGTTATTAAATGAATTCCCTTGCAATGACGTAATGGTGATGACTTGTTTTTTAAAAACATCCCCACTTTAGCCAAATAAAGATTTTGCCACCTCATGCCAATTTCTTGCAATTTCTACTTTTTATTTTTTGGAAATTTCACTATTTTGAGAAATGTAGAATTTAGGAACTATTGCATGATAATGTTTAATCTTCAAATACCAATATGAGGTGGATGATGTTATTAGTGTCATTTTACAAAAGGGGAGCCTCACGGAGGTTGATTGATTTGTTCAGAGAACCCAGCCGGAAGTGTCAGAGCCACATCCTCTTGACTCCAGTACTCATGCTACTTACCATTATGTCATTCCTGTGGCTATTAGTTAGGGTTCAGGCAGGGAGCAGAGATCATTCTAGGTGTTTTAAACAGGTTATTTAATACAGGTGATAGAAGGGATGAGTAGACAAGAGAAGGGAGCCAACCCAGCGATGAACAACACGAGGAAGTCACTACCATCCCTAGGGCATAGAGAGACGCAGAGAGGAGGTGGTGCTCTGAGAAAAACCTTCTGGATGGATGGGGGACAGGATGCTGATGAGGGGGGGCAGGGATCATGGAAGGAGGAATTGCAGTTATTGCCAAAGATGCTGCTTGGGGCAGAGAGAGAACAGGGTGGAAATACCCTAGCTTCTTCCTTCCACCTGCCCTCGTCTTCATTAGTGCCTCCTATTAGCCACACCTACCCAGGAGGTAGAGAACTTAGGGGCTGCATAATGTAGTCCTTTATGAAACAGAGCAATGAGTCCTTTATAAAACAGAGCAATGAGGGAAATGTTTGGATATAGATAAGAGAGCAAATAGATAAACAACTGGTACATTCTAGCATAAATATGGATGAAATTATTTCATTGTGTCTTTTACTATGGCAGTGGGGTCTAGATACCAAAAGAGACTTTTCAATATTAACAGTATAAGAGAATTTATTAGGCTATGTGGTGGGATGGGAATATTTCCATTTCCAAACGATATTTATTTATTTATTTTTGTTAATTCTCAGTAGAGGATATTTTTTCCCATTGATTTTAGAGAGAGTGGAAGGAAAAGGTGGGGGGAGAAAGGAGAGAGAAACATCAATGTGAGAGACCCACATTAATTGGTTACCTCCCACACCTGCCCCAACAGGGTGGGGAACCTGCAACCCAGGTATGTGCCCTTGACCGGACTAGAACCCGGAGACCCTTCAGAGCACGGGGTCATACTCTAATTACGAAGCAACATTGGCCAGGACTCCAAATGACTTTTAAAGCAGAGAGAGTCAGAAGAAATACGGAGAGAAATTTGGTCTTTGGGTAACTCTATCTTTGGGTACTTAGGTTCTATGAGGGTGGCTGAATTAGAAGCTCTGGGCCATGTAGGGGGACACCACCATCCTGGGTATCAATCCCGTCACTGTTCTCTCCCTTCTCTCTAGAGGAACTATCACTTCCTCTCTCCCTCTCTCATGTTTGAGAGATTTGGGGTTGGGAAGGGGAGCTCCATGTTTGCGAGGTGAAATGTTGGAGTCAGACAGAGCACTCATATAGAGATGTCGACATGAATAGAGACTGTGACTGTCTCCCTCCGCGCCCCCTTTCCATTTGGAGAGAGATTCACCCCACTGTTCCGTCTGGAGGAGGTTGGAGGCTAAGCAGGAGCCTCTGAGTTGAAGAAACCAAGTAGCTTTAGGAAAGTATAGGACAGTTACTCCATCTCCTGCTTTCCTGGTAGTAACCATTCAAAAGAGAAACCTCTTCCAGGCCCCATTTCCTACCTCCCTTGAAATCCAAGGTCGAATTTTACTGCTAATGTACTGCTGCAATTGTCTCCAAGCCAATTTACATCTGTTTTTGTTTTTAGCGATTGCTTTATTCTTTTCAAAAATCCTCTCGTCCCATCACAGGGTGAAGGAAAGAACATTTAGAAACCAGATGCTGTATTCACCATAACCATTATCCTTTATTGGATCCCACAGAGGTTTATTCTCTATTCATAAACAAGGTGAGAAAAACACCAGCTTTTAGCTCAACTTTACACTTTCAGATAAGTGTAGAGAGGGCAAAAGCTCTGCCATCTGCCTGCCATTATGACCCAGAGAGGATCATAGTTGGTGTGTATGTATAGCCCAGTGGCAGACCCAAAGTTCTCTTTTTTTATAACAATTATTTTACGATATAGCTTTTAATGTCCCAAAGTGAAATTCATAGGTAATGTTGACCTATATAATTCTAACAAAAATCAAAATGATGCCCGTGTTGTAATATCAGGGAGAACTAAATAAAAAACTATTTATAATAAAGTAACATGCATTACAAGACAGATATGCTCAGGCATAACTGTATTTGAGAGTGAAATGAAGTGGCCAGATGTTTCCACCGATGTGGTGAATCCTGGCTGTGCCAGCTGCCAGAAGACCAACACAAGTGGAGAGTGGCATCCATGATGTTTCTTCTAAGACAGTGGACGGCACTTGGTAAAGTTCCAAATGAAATAAAGCACCACCCTCCCTTTGATTTAACATGGGCGTTCCATTTCTGGGAGATCCAGCTTACATTAAAATCATGCAAAAATACTTTGAGTTAATAAATAAATTGGAAATATATTTTAGGCTTAGGTGATTATAAGTAGGTTTGTCATCTACATGAAATGTCTAGAATCCCAAGAGTGCCCTCCTCATCCCTGTGAGTGACAACCCCAAATGTCCCCGCACCTTTCCAAAATGCTATTTAGAACTAGCACTGTACCCATTGGGAACCCTGGAGTGGGATGCCTGAGGCCTTATTGAAGGGCAGGGATGTAGGAATGTGGGTGTCATGAACCTCACTCCGTGAGTCCACAGTTTTGTCTCTGGGAGCCCTGATTCAGCCACGTCCCTTGAGACCACACTGCCTTTGATAAGCTGTCAAGAAAACCATGGGTGGGTAGTTGTCAGAGCTTTTGGCAAGATTCTTTATGATTAGCTTATAGCTTTCTGTGGAAATGGTTTATTTCTGGGCTGTATGATGGCCCAAGACATATCCTTTCTCACTGCGGTATCTGAGGTTGGTTTACCATTGGATGTCATATACACAATGTGAACAGGGTGATGGATGGGTAGGGTAAGATTGAAAACCCAGGTAGATGCATGGTTATTGAGCAGAAATGCTTACTTATCTTAATGATGTCATGTTCAAAAATAGCTTATCACTCAAAGGTGCAATTGGCTATAAATCTGCCTGTAGTGTGTGAAACCAAATTGAACAAGAATGTATTAATTGGTATTTTAACAATTGGTATTGTTAAAATGCTAGATAACAATAGAATTCTTCAGGAATGACACGTTACACCAACATTGTCCAGAAAGAACCAATTAATCAAACAGAATCAATTTTAATGTGATTACTAAAGAAAGATATATCACTTTATTATGACGCTCTAGCCATACATTTTCAAAATATGCTTATTAAACAGTAAATGTAAGATAATGATTCAGTTAGTTACATTTTTAGAAGTCATTAGGATTGATATTCCTCTGCCATAAATGAATAATAATTTCAAATACAATCAGAGTTCACTTAATAAAAAATATGCTTGTGCACAAAGACAGATGTAATGAATGACCAAGTCAATGAACCCCATTTTCTGCTTTCAGAGTAGCCGGAAAAATTAATTCAGTGTCTGTAAGTTTATTTATCACACTTGGCCTGTAAGTGTGATAAAAACATATGAAGCAAAACACATGATGTAATCCCATTTCTCAGAGTTTATTAACCCTCTTAGCAAAAAGAGATCTGACATGGTATTTGGGGCCCTTATGTAAACTGAATCTGAGCTGCATGATGTTTGAAAGTTGTTGAAAGTTTTGAATAGACATGTTAATGATACACAGACACAGATGAGAGATGTGAGGAGATGCTTGAGGTTTCAGAGTCCCTCCTGCAGTGTGTATAGCAGCAGGTACAAGATAAATATCCAAAAGAATTCAGATTAAGGGATTAGTGGAAGTGGCTTGGCCATCAGTGAGTGAGGGTGAGTGAGTAGGGCCAGTGGGGGGCTTGGAAGGGATTTTGGAGTTCTGTTTTCAATTTTCCTACTTTTACATCAGTGTATTTTGGGCAAAAGAAAATGAGTGATATTTATTTTTCAGGTACTGTTGGCCTGGGCAAATAAAAAAAGAGGGCAGATTCTAAGGATCTTTTTGAAAGATCATTTTGAAGGTGATTCTGTGGGTTAAGTAGGAGGAACTCTGTGTCCTCCATGTTAACTCATATTTCAACTGGGCAGTGGTATTTGGGCTTTTGTGTTTTCGTTTTTTAAATTAAAAAAATGTCTTTTTTTCTCCCCCTCAAAAGACCTTATCAATGACAGCTGAAGAACGGGGAAAAAGAGGGACCATGTTGAAGGTCAAGGTGTAATCAGAAATTAAGAGGCAAGATGTAAAACTTATGTTTTTAAAGAGGTCCCTTTAATTCTAGGCCCTCTCTATATTTTTGAGACAGATACTAAATGAATAAGGACTGGGAGGAATAAAGACAGTTTCAAAAATTCCCTGGGCCTCTATCTTATCTAGGAAGAGGTTTCCTAAAGCAAAATATTGTTCCAGATAGGACTTAGTTATTTAAATTGATACTTTATCTTGTACCATACGCACTCAAAGCTTCAGACAGTCTTCTCATCTCCTTTTAAAAAAAAATAGAAATCATACAAAAAAAGAGATATCTATGCATCAGTTTCTAATACCTAACAGGAAAGTCTTTTAGAATATTAAAATATTGATAAGCAAATATGTATTATAGGATTAAACACTAGCATTGAAAACAAACAAACCAACAACAAAGAACCAACAAAATTTTCTTCTTGTTTTTGCCTCCTCAGTTTCTGGACTTTTTGATCATTGCAGGAGAGGGGCATAAAGAATCACAATTCTTCTATTTTAAAAAATTAAAATTTTAAAATCAATGATGCCACAATGATGCATAAGTCAGATTTATCTTTTGAAAACATTGCTGGGAAAGCCCAGGTGATTTGAGTGGAAATGCTCTTTCCAAAGAAGAGCGCTAACAGGATCTGTCTCGAATATTAGTACAATCTTTTAAGGTTAAAAATAGCAAAAACATTTTAGATAGTCTGATTAGAGTTTTGACAAGTCAAACGTATATTCTATCTAGCCTATAGTTTTAAAGTCTATTTGGGTTTAACTTATCACCCCTATTCCAATATAAAAGAAGAAGAAAGAACCAAGTCATTTTTGAACATTAAGATATTTAAAAAGACTATATAAAGTTAAAAAAAAGTCTTCACAGATTGTTAGCCATTTCTTTCAATGATTTCTCCTAAATTCTTCTCTTTCCTTATCAATAGATAACCCCCAGCTCATAAAGAAATACTTTCCAACACTTCCCAGTGAGATTAGTGATTGCTTTTCATGGGAGCTATTGCTCTCTGAGATGTTTAGATGAAGGGAGAATATTTTCTATAAACCAGCCAATGCTAAAAATTTACTCAAGGGAAATGGGGCAGATGCTATTTTCAGAAGGTGAATTTTTGCATTTTTTCTCTCCGTATTTTTCTCTACTTGCTGAATATCTGTTTTAGAGCAGACAGCACACACCAAAAAAAAAAAATCAATAAGTAACTTAACCATCTTTTTAGTTCTGCCATTTTTCTATAAAGTATTTTTTTGCCCCATTTATATTCCATGCTCTTGATCCAGGTGTTCAGATTGGGTAACATAGTGCTAATTTTGCTGAGAGCCAACAAAAGAGTGGAGCCTTGTGATTCGAAAAATTTTCCATCTTCTGCCCCACACCACCACACTCACAATTTGGTGAACAGTCTGCTACTTGTGAGTGATAAGAAGTTGAAAGGTGGTGGTGACTAGACCTAGTGCTGTTTTATGAAGCCACCTAGCTATAGAATTATTGTTTTTACACTTTAAAAAAATATGTCCATGCTTTCTTTTTTCTTTTTTTTCCTTTTTTTAAGTCAAGTACTTTCTTAAAGAAACAATAGCACCACGTTGGCATAGTTGGCCAAACAATAAATGGGAAAGCAAAATTGTGCTACATCCTCCAATTTAATCCCCCTAGTGCATGAAGTAGTAACGGAAACCCTGGAGCCACAGTGCATGAGATGGTTCCATCTACACAAACATTGACATTCCCAGGAGGGGAAGGATTCTCAAGGTGGCCAGGCTTTTTCTTCTTTTTCCAGGAAGTTATTATTATTATTATTTTTTAAGTATTCCATTGGACTCTCTGGGAGAGAGAGAGAGAGAGAGAGAGAGAGAGAGAGAGAGAGAGAGTGGGAGAGTTTTTTTAGGTCTAGAAGAGTGGATTCTGATGGAAAGATTCATTAGCTTTTTCAGGGGAGCCTCCTCATCTTAAAATGTTCAAATAGTGCTATTATACTATGTGGGGAAGCTGGAGTAGAAATTTGACTTAGGTATTCTGTATTGTCATTTAAATCAGAAATAAGCCTATACGTTGAAAGCTAATTCCTACCAGTATGTACGGCTCTTTCATAAACATCCTGAAATTTCCTCATTTTAAAATTTAAAGCAAAGCTTATGAAGTTTTGAGTTGTGAAATGTTAGGTGCTCCCTCTCTGTCAATCCTGGGACATTCTGCTGGAGTGTATGGGGACCAAGGGACTTTTGCAGTTTACATCAAATTGTCTTCTAGTTTTAATTCATTTGCAAATAAGATACTGGGTTAGTATAATAATTAGTTACTTTTTAATTTGTTGATTTATGATGTAGTTGGAGAGGACATGTGTTGGAAAAAGTTAAGAAAGATTATGTCTTTTTGTCTATTTAAGCTTTCCTCATTGGGGCATCTGGGCTGTGAATAGAATTGCTAAGTGAATTAAGTAAGTCATAGACACTCTTAGAATTACCCTATCCAGCTAGGTCGGCAGAAGAATACATGTAAAATGTCTCTGGGAGTCAGTGATTTTAAAAGGTGCATTCTAGGAACAAGAAATAAAATTAGAAGTGCCACCTTGGGAAGAGGAGTACAGCATCTCACTCTGCAGAACCCATATGTGTGGGAACAGATGAAGGACAAAAATGACTTGTAGTTCCTTTCACATCTGTCCATAGTGGTTAGAACACCACTCAGTACACCAGAGATGCTCAACTCAAATAACACTGTGCACTGAGGGTTAAAATACTTGTTGGCTGAGCCAGGGCATCCAGTAAATAGGCCTTCTTTTTGCATACATTCTGAGATCCAGGAAGTCTTTTTCAATTTAATTTAATTTTTTTATTTCTGGCCTCTGAATCTTGAGGTGTACCAGTGGGATGAAAACTAAACATGTAATGTTTGTTTTCCATATATACTTTCCAAGAATAAGAAGGGTACAATGTGCATGAAATAATAAACCTGGTTGCTTCTCACCAAAAAGTTCTAAGGCCGATAAAAGATCCAAATGGTGGATGATTCATTGTTCTAATAAGAAAATTTTGGTATGGAGACCGGAAACATTTTTTAGGCCTGCCCTCAACCATGGGCCTGCCCTCAACTTTGGATTTTCTTCATACCAATTTTTAGTTGAATGGATAAGACACATTCATAGGGGCCATTCTTCTAAGACATGAGGGAAAATTTCTAGCTCTGAAGAAAATTTTGGCCTATAAACTAGCAACTCTAATCAAGGGTATTTTAACAACAGCAACAACAAAATAATAATATATATAGCCAAGAATAAGAGCAAAATTGATTAAAGAAAGTAACTGTGACTTTTTATAAGATATTATTTCAATAGTTGAAATCTTGGGCCATCTTTTGTAGGTTGCCTAAAGATGGAATAACTGTTGTTCAAAATGAATGGAGTATCATAATATTAAAAGAAGTATTACTGGATTTCTAGAAACTGCCTAGAAATCAGTGAGTGCTAACAAATTGAGTAATCACCCTTTTGCTGGTAGAAATCTTTTTGTTTTTCTCTTTATTTTCTTTTTATTTCCCTCTTTTCACTTTGTATTTATGAACCCAGATGCAGAATTTAAAATCAAGTTGTTAATCAAATGTTTCTAACTTATTTTGAAAAGTGTTTTAAAAGAGATCAATCTGATTGCTAACTTTTAACAACTAGCTAGTTGGATACTTAATTAGATGGCTTCGTTGACAAAAATTGTCATGTCAGGAGCATTTGGCTAATCAGTTTTCTAGCTATGCTCTGAATGAGCTGTTTATAGAATTCCTTGCATCCCAATGACTCAAGGGCTCTGACCTTCCACCCTCGTAGCAATTTAGGATAATAATCTGGAGCTTTATCTTTTTAATCCTCATACCACCCCTGTGAGGTAGGTAGATGGCATATTGCCCCATTTTGCAGATGAGGAAACTGAGGCACACAGAGGTGAAGTGACTTGCCCAAGGTCACAAAGTGGTGAGTCCGTGGCCGAGTCGGCAGATGTTTGTTTCATCAGTGAGAAGAAACCAGGACTATTAAATTCCTAACCTTCTGCTTTTTCCACTCCTCTCAGGACTTGCTAAACAAATTTGCATCGCTGGACTTTGTGTTTTCAATTTCTCTTGGAAGGCGTAATCGGGGGTACTGGAGTTTTAGGACCCTTCCCCTCTGTGTCTTTGGCTCCAGGCATCCTTTTTTTTTTGTTTTGTTTTGCTTTCACCTTTTACCATTTTGGCCAGACTCTTTCATATCACAAACTACAAAAATAGCACCATTGTACTAAAAAAAGAGAGTTTTACATACTGTTTGATATATCCTGTAATGTTGATATGTGAAATTTACATAGTGCTCTATATGGAAAAAAATCAAAGAGAAGTTACTAATTAGGTCGCACACTAACTCATCATTTGAAGGAACTGTTGAGAGTTTGAGACTTTCTAGACTTAACACATACACCTAAGAACATTTGGCCTCAAAGTTGCAACTATTTGCATTTTCTTTTTAGCAAGATGTGGAAAAATAAAGCTTTGTGTCTACAGCAAATGCATCTGATTTATATTTTGTACCAGTGCCACAGATAGAATCTGGTGGGTTAAATATTGGTGTGCTACTTGACTGCTTGCTGCTGCTATGGAGGAGGCCACATTTGGGCAAATATAACGGGGATGAAGGAGGGTGGGCAGCGATAGACAAACAAGGTAATCAGACACTGTAAAACAAACAGCCTGTGTTGCATAGAAAGAAGTGCAAATAAAAAAAATTAATAAACCACTTAGACAAGACTGCTGAATGAATGGCTCCAGCAGCCAAGATTCAGAGACAAATTTAGTGCAACTGGATCTAGACAACACCCATGCATTTGTGGCTCTTGAGAGGCAAGGACTAAGATATATATATATAGATAGATACATACATACATACATCCATATATTTTTTCTCTATAGAACATTAGTAATAAAGGATCAACAGCAATCTACCAACTCCAGGACCTTTTTTGCAAGGTGCAAAGCTTTTAACAATCACTCCTAAAGACAATGTTTGAAATGTTTACTTGTGTATTTCATTGGGGGGAATGCCCATCTTTTGAAATGTTATCAAACTCATATTTTGGTGGGTCTTCTGGTGTTTAACTGGTAATTCATGCAGAGCAAAGGATCCTGCCGATGGGATGTCATTCTTCACTCCCCAGGAAGGTCTTCCTACATTCGGTAGCTCTTATTTCCCGCATTCCCTCTACTTGCGTTCTTCAAATGTACTTCCTAAAAGCAAGGGAGGAAAAGCGACATTAACTTGGTGACGTTTTATATATCCTACCCATCTACTTCTAATGCTGGGTCTCAACCTTTTATGGCTTAAGACTCACCAGTCAGTCTAAGAGAGAGCTTGGGCCAGATTGTTCCAAGAAAGACGTATTTAAGTAAATAGGCTTTAATTTTTTAGTGTGCCCCTTTTGGCATGGGGACCACAGATTGCTTTATAACCACACAAAACTGTGTTTCTATTCATCTGCTGCTACCACACATTCATTGATTGAAAGGAGATCCTGAAAAGTTCAGTCTCCTGGCCTGTAGCGTCTTTTGTTATTTTTTATTGTCTTATTGCATTTAAGTTCTGTTTTGATTTTTGTGAAAAGGTATTTCTTTTTCATTCTTTCTCTTTGAAGAAAGAGAGATTTAGAATTAGAAGAGTGGGGAAATTTGTAATTGTTTTTGACTCTGTAAAATCACAGACATACTGAGCTTGGCTTAAATCCTAGCTCTTCCATTTTCTAGCCCTGTGAGCTTCTTCAAGTGAAAATTTCTTGTGTCTCAATTTCATCCATAAACTGGGATAACAATAGTTTTTACCATGTAGGGTTAAGGATTAAAGAATTAGTACATAAAAGCACTTATAATAGGTCTGGCGCATGGCAAGCACTATATAAGTATTATTATTATTTTATCTTACTCTTATTATCATTATTTCATCTTTACTAGGATGTAGCCATTCCTAGACTAAAATTCCAGGGTTCCTAACTTTGGTGCTACCATTCACTCATCAATAAGCAATGCTTTCCTGCAAGTTTTGCTTAGAGAAGAAGCCTTATGATAGCAGGGACTTGTCTGTTCACTGTTACAGGCCCATGTTTAGAGCAGTACTCAGGATTTTGCAGGTGCTCACTACATAACTGAAGGATGAATTAAATGAATGAGTGAGTATAATGGACTCTCTGATAATGTGCAGAATCAGGTTTTTATACTTTTCCTATAGTTATTATTTTATCCTTGGATATATTTAAATAGCAAAGTTTACTTAGACAAATAAGATGTGAAATGAAATCTAGGAGGAAGTGGCCTTTGCATGCATAAACATAAGATGCTTCTTCTCTTGGTTTCATCTCTAACCAGGAAGCCCTTATAGGAGAATATATATAATGGATAATTATTAGCATAGAATAGGGTTATTTCATCTCTAACCAGGAAGCCCTTATAGGAGAATATAATGGATAATTATTAGCATAGAATAGGGTTTAAAAAAAATTTTTTTTAGAACATGTTTCCATCAGGACCAAAAACAAGAGTTCTTTCCATAGTGGCTGGAATCTCCAAATTCTTCCTTCTGGCTAAGGTAGTGACTGCTCACCCAATCATTGTTAGGAGCTTAGAGATCACTGTAAGGGACATTTGTATTCACCCAGACCTGATACCTGGAGAGGATGAGATGCTGGAGCAGAATCAACTACCAAACCCTGAGCTAAGGCCCATAGGGATTTAGTAATTGTTCTTTCACATGCTTTTCAGCTCTACCTAACATTAGAGTTAGCACCAACTCTTTCATAAAAGCCAGTTAGCACTTTGTAAGTTGATGGTCAATATCCTGTAGGGACTGAATAGAAGGAGGATGGCATCATTGTGTAAAAAATGTTTGTTAAATTATCTAGCTCAGGGGCCACTGGACAAAAAAGCTTGTAGAACAAAATTGGGCATTCGTATAGGGCAGTGTGAAATGCCATCTGTTTAAAATCCTGGCACTTTTCTCCCAAATATCATTGACCTTTTATCCAGTCCACTTAACATGTATTTCTTGCTGAATAAAAGCATCTACTGTTGAACTACCAGTAAATTTGTATTTCTGATCTTACATCTCATTTTGCCTTCTTAAAGGAGTTCTTCAGAAAAAATGGCAGAAAGACATATGACGCCACAGTATAGGATCACTGTCATCCTAAACTCCTCATTGCATTTTTGTTCAGTTCTCAGCTGATGAGCTATGTGGCTTTCTAAACTCCAAATAACTATTATTAAGAATACTACTTTTCTATCAAACTACTGACCAAATTAACTGACAGGTCTAAAAATATGCTAATTTGAGTTTTACCTTTTTTTTCTACCAACTTAGACAAAAATATTTTAAGACTGTGGGAAACACCCAAACTAGGAGAATACTCAAGAATGAAATAATAAGAAATTAAAAGAAGGCCACATGCGATGATTAATCTTTAATCTTCCTCTTGAGCCAAATTAAATCCCAGATTTGCAGAAGGAGAAATTCAGGTATCTTCTGTGTGTCACAAATTCATGAGGACTGGAGCAAAAGGAACTGAGGTTAGATGGGCCAACCACATAGATGTTGTCCTTTTCCCCACAGGGAAATTCTTTTCCTTTTGTCTCAAAGCTGAGGTGTAAAGTCTGTACAGAGGGATCCTTCCTATTTCTTCTGGGTTTGCGTCAGCATCACAGCAAAGCCATAGGCAGAAACTCACTTGAGAGAAGCCTACCCTGCTCCAAGGAGCATGGTTCCCATGCACGCACATGTTCGATGGAGGCCATTCAAAACCAGCTGGGATGTCGTCTGGTTTGCATTTGGCTCTCTTCCCAGGCTCTCCCATGGGACTTCTTTGTTGTAGACAATGACAGGGACAAAACAAAAGCACTCAGGGACTTGGTCTCAGTTGCATCTGTTGCTTTGTTCATTTTCCTAATTTAATTCCGCTGGCCACCCTTGACAATGGGCAGCAAGTGGAGGCCTGTCTGAGGCAGCCTTCAGAACTGGCACCTACCTTCAGTGCACTTCTTGAAGGGTTATGAAACTGTCCCACATTTAGCCAAGCAAAAACTTTTCACTTCAACAGCTTGTCCAAGACAAACAAACCAGCCGAAGCTGTTTCTAGTATGCAACTAGACAGATTTTTGAAAGGAAAACAGTAGTAAGTAAATACTGTTTCCTATTGACACTAGGGAAGGTAAGCTTATTTTTCAAAAAAATGTTGGTTCTCTAGCTCACAAGGGTTGGTTGAGGAAATTTATTCCTCTCAGGAAAAGGTTGACCTGCTCATTGGGGAAGGGCTTAATTTGCGATATACATTATTACACGTTGTGGACCATACACAGATATTTATGAAGCTGGAAAATGCATTGAAGGGCTCATTCACATTCTCCCATTATCTCTCTGCTCCAATCCTAGCTCCTAGCACTTCAAATGAAAGCTATGCATAAACTTTTTGAGTAAGAAGGTCACTGAGAGCTAGTAACAATGGAAATAATAATGATCTTGGTTAACATTTGCAGACACTTTACAGTTTATACAATAATCTCACAATACCTCCTGAGATGATTTCATCTACAACAGTCTCATATAGAATTTGAGGTTACATAGGAACAAACGGATAGACCCAGGACTAATAATAAAACAGTTTATTCTTTTAACAAAAGAATAACAATTCTATCACTTAACCCATATAACATTTTAGACACTGTATTACATATGCTAATTGAATATGTTCTCTTATTTATTTCTTCTAGTTCTTTTGGAAGTGGGTACTAGTGTCTTGCCCATTTTACCTTTAAGGAATACAAAGCTTCTACTAAAAGTGATTTCTTGCAGTGAAGATGTGCCTGTTGCTGGAATTTGTACCAGTTCCTTCTGATTCTGGAGTTCACCAGTTAGCTGCTCTGCCATACTGCCTCCCCCAGAGGTCAAACAATATCTGGTGCCTCAAGGCCCAAATCTCTCTCAGATAACTGTCTTTGATCAAGTCATGAGCTACCCAGGATCCCAGATGGTGTAGATGCTGGTTTAGGGAAGGGTGTCCTTCCAACTACAAGTGTGAACTGAACCCCATTTGTATGGTTATTGATAGAGAACAGTAGCACAGTATTCTGTGAGCAAAAGCTAACCCCATGGGCATTATAAACCCTTCTTTTCTCCATGCCTATCTTTATGAGACTTTTGCCTGAGAGAGAGAGAATCTAAATGAAGGATAATTAATAGGCTCTTTTAAATTTCAGGGAGGAAGCAGTGATATTTTCAATAGACTATGTTTCCACCTCTACCCTTTCCAAACAAATTGAGCATTGTGTGACATAAAGTCTAAGAAAAGCCTCACACACTGTAAGAGTGTTGGGAAAATTCTGTCCAGCATGGAATATTTGTCTGTTATATAGTTTAAGGTCCTCACTCAGCATTGACCTTCTTCTAAGAAGGGAAAAAAATAGGAACAACAATAACAAAATGAGGAGTGGATGATTGAAAAGATGAGCCAGACCTCAGCTCTTCACTTGTTAAGAAGGATGTGCTTGAGCTAGTTTGCTGGCTTGACCTGGAGACACATGAAATTGTGGAGGACAAGTTAGATGTCTCAGGATCAAGTCTGGTATCTCTTTACTACGGGGAATCACAAGTTCAAATTCAGGAGAGTTAGGTCAGCCTTTCCTCTCTGGGAGCCAAGCAAAATGAGTGTCATATGACTTACTTAGCACTTTGGAATGTGACTTTTACAACCAGAGGTCAAGGTGCACATTTTGAGAGATTCAGGTTCCTGATGGAGTGGCTGCCTCTTTAACAAAAAGTGAGAAGTATGAAGACTGGATGCAGTGTTGGTCAGCCCAGTCTCTTGTTTTTCCCTGGAAACCACTGCATCATATCTCCTATTGTGGTTATGGTGGCCATTTTTTTCTAATATGATCCTCTCCTCCAGTCATAGTGGATTGGCCCCCAGGGCAGGTCCCTTCCCCAACCCCCAGGACTGAATGTGGTAGCTATATCAAGGCGGACCCATTCCTTTATTGGCCAGCTTTGGCTCAAGGATTTTCCTTAGACTATATGGCCATCTAGGATGCTTCCACCTAACCTACTCCCTCTCTCTCCTTCACTTGGGATCAGACTTGCATTACCTTCTTCTGATGGCTTGCTTAGGTTTCCCCGATTCTCTCCTATGTCCTTTCACACGAACATTTCCCCTAATAACACCCTTGCTCATTTAACCCAATCTCATCTCTTT